ACAAACACTCTCAAACTCATGCATACTCGAAAAAAAATTTTAAATTAAAAAAAAAAAGTATAGTTTATTTGGTTTTAAATAACGTGTTCGTTTTTCTCTCCTTTCTCAAAAAAAAAAAAAAAAAAAATTTTTTTAAGACAAAATTTAAATTAGTTGATGAGTCAATCGGACCGGGTGAATTTTTTTATTAATATTATTAATACAATAATAATTTTCTAAAAATATTTATATATTGCAACATATTTGAAAACTAAAAGAATAAAATGTCGGAAAATACGTGTAATACATCATTTACAAATTTAGAAAACAATGACATTGAATCAACAACAACATTAAATGATCAACAACAACAACAAATAGAAAATCTTCACGCCGCTAACCGTAATAGCAATAATAGTCAACAAGAAAATCCTTCTTTACCTTGGAATGCTGATAATACGGTAAAAAACGAAGAAATAAATAATAATAATTTAAATTACACTTCTATTATCATTAACACAACAATTAATGCGACAATTGCTGCTGCCAATAATAATAATGTTCCTTTATGCAATAATACCGACGATGATAATATTAATATTATTAACACAACTTCTGATAATCACAATGAAACTATACTTGGTAATAATGATCGTTCGACAATATCTTTAACATCACCAATGGATTGTACTTATACTCCACCAAATATTAATGAACATAACATTCATAAATTAAGCAATAATAATATTAATATTAATATTAAGGAGGAAGACGAAGGAGGTGAATTGGAGGGATGTGGTGATGATAATAATAATAATATCGAAGATGACGGTCAATTAAAATCTTTTGTGATTTCTTTTAATTCACAAAATACCACAATAAATATAAATAATATAAATAATATAACTGCAAACACTGATACAAACATTAATAGTAATGATAGTAATTCCAATAATGACAATATAAATATAAATAATAATGCATCGTTACAAATTAATAATATTTCATCTTTATCGTCGCCGTCGTCGTTTGATAATAATATCAACAAAGATAATTCTAGCAATAACAATAATTGCAGCAGCAGAAACAACAACAATTTATACAACGAATCAACAACGTCGTCATATTTTGATCCATCAAATCAATCGCACTTAAATTATGTTCGTGAGGTTGAAAATGATTATTTTACAAATTACTATCATC